TCTCGTGTGGTTTATATAGCTACCCATCAAGATAGAGAGCTGTCCATCACTGCACAGGCGTGACCTCACACTATTGTATTCCCAGCACTGCTCTTGTCCCTCTGATCCCTCTTCCCCAGTACCCTTACACTTGTTCTCCATCTCTATAACTCTGTCCGTTTGAGAATGCTGTAGAATTTGACTCCAACAGTATGTAATCTTATGATAGGCGTATTCACTTTACGATGCCCTAAAATCCAATCAACTGTGTGTCACTGACCAATAGTTTGCCAAGTAGTGTTCCATTAGAGAAATATATTGCAGTTTGTTTTTCTATTTACCTACTGCCTTAATTACTTTTCTGTTGCTGTGATAAGACACTATGATCACAGAAACCTATAGAAGAAGGAGCTTATGCAGCTTACAGTTTCAGAGGATGAGTCCATGCCCATCATGGCGTAGTGGCAGGCAAGTAGGCATGGTGCTGAATCGTTGGTGAGAAATTACATCTGATCCACCAGCAGGAGGCAGAGAAAAAGAGAGAAACAGTGCAAGTGCTACTGGGCCTGGCTTGGGCTTCTGAAACCTCCAACCCCACCCCCAGTGACACACCTCCTCCAACAAGGCCACACCTCCTAATCCTTCCCCAAATGTTCCACCACCCAGAGACCAAGGGTTCAAATATAAGGGCTTTGGGAGGCCACTCTCATTCAAACCACCACATGTTAAGGGCATTTGGACATTTCTATATTTTGGCAATTATGAATACGTCTCCTGGGAACATTCATGCACAAAGTTTTGTGTGAAACAGTAGTTTTCATTCCTCTGAGATGAATTCCCGAGATTGCAGATTCTGGGGCAGTGGTAGGCAGATGCTAAGCACCCAGTGTTCCCCAGAGTGGCGTCCACTACACACCCCATCATCTGTGTGTGAGACCCACCCTCTCCCAGCTGCTGTCCTGCTTACTGATTCATCCCATGAGGTTTGTAACACTACTTCAGTGTGGTCTCAAGTTTCTCCCTGGCAGCCAGTGGTGTTGAGGTCTTTTCTCGTGGTGATCTGTCACCTGCCTGTCTGTCCTGGTAAGGAATCCATTGATGTCTTTGGCCTGTTTTCTGTTTGTTTGTTTGTTTGTTTTTTTAAATATAATCTTGACATGTAGCACAGTTTGGACTTGAACAAATATAAGAGAGAATGTGCAGATTTTGTCTTTCTGAGTTTGGGTCACCTCATTTAATATACTTTCCAAATCTGTCCATTTTTCTACAAATTTTACTTTTTTAAAATTCTGATTATTTTTAAGAGTTCCTTCCCCCGCTGCTCACTCATTTTGCATCTTTTTCGTAAAGTCATTTAAGAGATCTATGATAATTATATTTAGAAGCTTTTGTCTGGTAATTCTGATATGTTAGTCATGCATGTATCTTGTTAATTTGCTGTTCCTGTGGATTACAGATTTCATTTTCTGATCTTTTTTCTTCTTCTGAATGTTAGGCATTGTTAATGATATGTGGTGTTGACCCTGGGCTCTGTTGCCTTTGTCTAAGATTGATTAGTTTTGTTCTGGAGATGGCTAGATTATTATTAGTAGGTACACTTGATCTTACATTGTTTGGGTTTTGAGCCAGGTTTTTGTCTTTATAGCTGAAAACTTTTGACAAATGTATCATGCCAAGGGCTATCCCCAGTGATGGATGGGTCCTGCAGAGGATGTATGGAGTCAGTGGGGAAGGAAGTGAGCCAGGCCATGGTGGTTGCGAGAATCTTGCAGCCTGACTGACTGGCAGCCAGAGTGTTTCTTTATTTATACAGAATTTTAGTTAGCAGGGATACATTCATGATGTTCCAAAAGATAGATCATATCATTTTTGTTTTGGACATGTGTTTCACTTCCTTTTGCTCATCTTTAGTCATCATTAATAAACTATGACAGAACAGAGTTATCATTTCCAATCATTTCCCCTCAAGTTTTGACATCATTAGTAAACAGAGTTATTATTCTTACTCATTAACCCCATAACCCAATTTTTGAGAATCTAGAGGCATATGACAGCCTGTGCTCAGGGTGGTTGTTTTGGTTGCTTCAAGGACACGAGACCAAAACAAAATCTTCAACCACCCTGGGCATTTTGCCATGTCTCAAGCAATGCATTATTAGTTCTTAGTGGTCAGTGCCCAGGAAAATTCCTCAGGCTAAAGCTGCTGTAGTTATTCAAATTCTGGCATAATACAATCAATGTTCACATTTATATCCTTACAGAATTTGTCTATATGTCTAATCCTGGCATCCTGTTGTTCCTTGGTCATATGACATTGTAGTGGCTCTACATGAGCTAACTTCTAAGAGAGGGAGGTCCTAACATCTCATACTTTTATCATCTTTCCACTCTGTACTTTGCTCATCAATATGTCTTTGTGTAGGGCAGTTGTATGCCACATAATTGTCTGAGTATTCAGTGGGAAGAGGCTTGTAATCTGAACTGTGGCCAGCTCCTCTAGCCCACCAAATCTTGTTGACCTTTTTAAATTTACTTTGTTTTGAATATCTTGTTCCAGTGTAAGTGTAGGGAGAGATGTTTCAAGAATGTCTCATAGCCTTATGAGGAGACCTCTGGCTTCTTTACGTGTCACAACCTCCAAGGCACAAAGAAGACCTTCAAGTAGATAAGGATATCTCCCTCAAAGTGTGTGTGTGGGTAGTATGTTCAGGACTTTCCTGGATAAGCTTAGAAGCAGCATTCCTGGAAGAAGGCATCAATGATTCATAAGGAATTTTCCATCAATCCAACATCCCCAAATTGTACAAATATTAAAAGTACCCCAAGTATGTAACAGGTAGAGATGAAAACCAAAGGTGACATGGCAGCCATCATGTGGCTCAGCTCTGCTGGATCTTTGTCAAGCAGCTGTGCTGGCTTTATGATTTCTGCCATTCCATTCAGTTATGGCTGTGGCAGGATCGTAATAAATCTCAGCAAAAAGTCTTGCATATCTTTAGACTTATAGTAAATAACATCCTATGATGTTGATACATTGGAAATAGTGGGGATTTAGGTTTCCATTAATGAAAATGAGGATTTCTTCGGATTCTAGACCAATTTCAGTTATTCTAATATCAAAATTCCTCCTGGTGGGAGTCCTAAAAACTTTACCTGCTGTGACACACCTCATTTATCACTTTAAGTAATTTCATCATAATTTTTAAATCTTTGTATTACAGTCTTTAAAATTTTTACTACATTCATTAATTTGTGTGGGGGGCACACACATGATGTGACATTCTTGCAGATATTAGAAGACAGCTTACAGGAATTCTCTTTCCATCTTGTGAGTCCCAGGGATCAAACTCAGGTCATCAGTCTTGGCTGCAAGGGTCTTAACTCACTGAGCCCATTCAATGGCTCAGTATTGCTATCCTTGTTATACAATAATTGCATTACACATTTTTCTCTCTCTCCCTCTCTCTATCACCACGAGGTCAAGCCTGCACCTCCTCTCTCCCCACTTTCCTATCTCTTTCTCTCTTCTCCTTCTTGTCTCCTCAGCCCCTGCCTGCTTTCTCTGTCTTCCCTTCTTCCCACTTAATAAAACTCCACGTGAGCGCTGAAAAAAAAAATTGCATTACAGTTATATCACAGACAATTAGAAAAGCTCACAAGGAGATTATCTATGATGGTATTTACTGCAGCATTGTTTATAATACAAAGAAGAGAGAAAAGCAGCTACATGTTTATTTGTAGATAGTTGATTAAACAAACACACCTCAAATTCTATACATTTTATACAATGGATAGACTGTATCTAAGGGCGGAGGAAAATATATCCATTGTGTATTAGCCAAGGAAAGCTTGTTAAACAGGATGATCTGTTTCCCACTTAAAAAACCTTGAGTGCATGTATGATCTCCATGTGTTTAACTTATATTTAGGAGGTGTACAATGGACAATTTTTCTTTTGTTTGCACTGGGGGTCTCCAGGACAATCCTTGTTTTTGATGACATGCTGGAAGACTCAGAGGGTCCCCCAAAGACGATCCAGTTTATTTTATTATAGCAAAGTACTAGAGATTAATATCAGGGATAGGGAAAGGCACATAGGGTAGGGCATAGGAAAAGCCGAGGACCCCTTTTAACTGTCACCACCTGGAGAATCACTCACAGATTCTTCCGGCTGTGATGTGACATGGCACAGGTCACTGCTGCCATGCAGGAACCCTTCAGGGGGCAGTCATGTGGACACATGGTGCCTGTGCAACTGGCTTCAGCTCCTTGCCCCAGAGTGGTGATTTGAATGAGAACAGCCTCTATAGGCACATATGTTTGAATGCTTGGTTCCCATTTAGTGGAACTGTTTGAGAAGGATTAGGAGGTGTGGCCTTGTTGGAGGACTTGTGTCATTGAAGGTGGACTTTGAGGTTTCAAAAGCCCCCCACCAGGCCCAGTTTCTTCTCTCTCTCTCTCTCTCTCTCTCTCTCTCTCTCTCTCTCTCTCTCTCTCTCTCTTCCTGCCACCTACTGTTCAGGATGTAAAGCTCTCAGCTACTGCTCCAGCACCATGCCTGTCTGCTTCCCATGATCATGGACTCGCCCTCTGAAACGGTAAGCAAGTCCTTCACTAAATGCTTTCTTTTATAAGAGTTGCCTTGGTTGTGGTATCTCTTCACAGCAATGGAACAGTAACTAAGACACCCAGCATTTCAGAGGTCAAAGCAGTGCATCATGGCCCCAAATCTTGGCATATGACATTTTTCACCATAAATTTCATTGTTGGTATAAACTATCTGATGCCAAGGCCTCAAGTATACAGGCGCTATAAGCAGGATACTCCCAAGAGCTGGGCCCTGGGCCAGTCTTGGTGGGGGAGCATGCAGGGTTTGAGCAACCCAAGGCTTGTGAGTTATTCTTCATTGTGCAACGACTTTCTTATCGGTAGTGGTTTGGCAATAACCATGCCACAAACAGCAATTAAACTACTTCTTTCTTTCCCTCTCTCTTTTTTTCGGGGGGTTGGAGTTGGGGGCAGGGTCTTATATATAACAGTCTGGTCTCAAAGTCACTATGTCACCAAGAATGGTCTTGAATTTTTTAATTTCCTACCTCTATCTCCTTGATGTGCCCCACTACACTCAGTTTATGCTACAGCAGTGTTGGGGGTTGAACCCAGGGCCCTTGTGCATGAGAGGCAAATAGTCTATCAACTGAGTGCCCTCCTAGCACAATTAAACTGTTAATATTTCTATTCTGCAGAAAAAAGGGCAATGCTTCAAACACACCTGTGTGGTGTCCTTTTGGTATTGTGTCACCAAGCTAAATCTCTGTGTGCCAACTCTCTGAACCACCAGCGTGACATTTCAATAACTGTAGGTGACAAGGTACCCTATGAAGCATGAATATTGGTAGGCATTTCCAAAGCCTGGCAAATATCCTCGTGAATTCACGGTACCCAAAGCCAGGAACAAAACTCTTTACTTCATTCTCAAGACAGAAATCTGAGTCCAGGGTGCTAAAGGACCTGAAAGCCAGTAAGAGCTTGATAAGAAGGTGCCTGAACGAAGTATTTGTCACCCAACCACTTGAGAGCCAAGTAATTTCAGACCACTTGGTTCTGGTGACTGTGTCTGAATTACGCATTGAGAGTCGTCGTAGAAGTCTGACCTGCATGGGGAAGAAAGGGCTGCTGTTCATTTGTAGGCAGAGCCTGTGCCGCCTCAGCACAAGCCCAAGTACCCGCTCGCTCATCTGCTCTAGCCGCTGCCACGGTGACCTTGTTGGCTGGCCCAGAATGAGGGTCAGGATTGCGTGCTTGCTGCCCAGCCCTTTGCCAAATGCTTAGATGATGCTCGGCCGCACAGCTCTGTGATCACCCGAATTTTATAGATAAGGAGACAGCGCCAGTGCAAGTCTTGGGACAGACCACAGGAGACAGCGCCTCTCCATTTCGATGCTTGATGAACCGTGACAGCAGAGAGTACATTTCCAATTCTCACAACCCAGCACTTGAAAGCTGTGCATGATGCCTGGGAGCCATGCATCTCAATCTCCCAGGAAAGGCATAAATATGTTAACATTTTAGGATAAAATCTTTCCCTCTCAGCTACATAAAATAGCAGCCATCACCAAAAAAAAAAAAAAAAAAAAAAGGGAGCAAATTGCTGGGGACTATGCAGCCCATGGTGATGATTCCCTAACATTTGGAGTCTAGATCTGATTATGAGTTAAATTTCAAGGGGTAACAAATTCCGAACAAGTAGACTGAAACTAAATAAACAGTTGCTGTGTCTACTCTCAGGCAGTTAATTATAGTAAGGACTCTGCTTCTTGGGAAGTATTGTTATAATAAATTATAATTAGTGGTTTGAAACGGGGATACTTAAAAAAAAAAAAATGGGTGGTGAAGAGCCTTGAACGAATTGAATCATTTGTGTTAAAGCTTCCCTAAGACGCTCAGTATTCTCTGGCAGCCTCAAAACAAAACAAAGCCAAAAAAAAAAAAAAAACCAACCCTGTCAGTCAAACTGCTAGTCAAGAGCCCTGGACATTATTCAAACAGAGAGAATGAGCGCTGTGAAAGGCTCAGGTGTGGAGGGGCCTTGAGAGCCTCAGAAAATACTCTGCCTTGCTTAATGCCGAGTGCTAATTGATGGATCTCTGCTGATTGCTGCTGCTTTCAAGCTGCATTTCCATCAGGACTTCTCTGCCTTGGAAGATGTGACAATTTAAAAAGTGCTTTAATATCCCGGGAATGGGCCCAGGAGCAGCGGGAGAGCCACATGAGTACACCCAAGATAACGACAGATGCGGGGTTGTCGGGAGTGCTCCAGGTGAGTAAACAACTCTGATTTTTAACCAAGGGCTTGGAGCGCCGGCCTGTGATTTGTGGAGCACAGAGCGCGGCCTCCCTCCACTCGCCCAACCCTGCCTCCTCCGGGGACACAGCTTCCTTCCTGCGCCTTCTCCTCTTGGGGCTTCCCTTCCTTGCCATCTGAGTCCTGGGCAAATGAAAATGTGTGTGGTTGCCCTCCTTGCAAGTGTTTCACCAAATTCCGTTATTTCTAGAATCACTGGGAAATGAGCAGACAGTGGCTGGGTATTTCTACTCGCCCCAGCCTTTCTCGGCCTCTTCTGGGCCCCACCCGGCCCCTCCAAAGGCCGACTTCTGTGGACCGTGGCAGCTGAGTAGAGGGAGGTCAGAGAACAGGAGATAGCTGCCGTCCACCCCGCCCACAACTCCCACAGGGTTCTAGGAGCAGGCCCTACCCCTTGCCGCCTACAGCTTGAACGGTGTAACTAGAGCGCTCTAAGTACCCAGGGGGGCCTCCTTGCTCTCTCGGGTCCGCAGACCTTAGCTGCGTATCTGTAAACAGTTCCCTCCCTAAAGCGCTTCTCATTCGCCCCTTGGAGCAGCCATCTGTTACCTAGTAGAACCCCAACTGATGCCTGCAGCCACAAAGGTCCTCTCCGCGGGGTGACTAAGGCAAGGGTCACACCACGGGCATGCAAAAGAGCCATTTGTCACCTGGGCAGCCAAAGGATTTCCCCCTCTTTTGCAGGTGCTCGGTTTCTAGTGACTGCGTCTCATCTGGGAGCATCCCTGGCTTTGGCAAAATGCGCTGTGGGGATGTAGCTCTCACAAGGCACCCTTAACCATCCTGTTTCCTTCGGTCTTGCCTTTGGCTGTGACAGTGTACGTGGTGCTCACTGAACCCTGGTTTTCTCAGACTCTTTTCAGTCCTTAGCTTCGCCATTTTTCTGTCTTCGCTGGCTTTGCCTCTATAAAGTTACTGGGTTCCAGGCCACCATATCCAGATAAAGGTACCTCCTGAAAGCTGGCCTTTGTGTGTGTGCATGTATGTGTTCGTGTGGCAGCCACAGGTCAACCCTAGGGTTTTTCCTCAGGAACCATCAACTTGTTCTTATGAGGCAAAGTGTCTCACTGGGACCTGGAGCCTTCCAATTCAGCTAAATTGGCTGGCCAGTGAGCCCCAGGAATCCGGCTGTCTCTGCCTCCCCAGACCTTGGGTTATGAATGAGCACACAGTACCGAGCCCAGCCCTGTCTTGGAAAACCAAACAAACAAGACAGAAGAGGAGCCCAGCTTTTTGAGTGGGTTCACTGTGACCACCTGTTATCTTAAGAGTGGATGAGGAGGCAGAACAGAAGGCCAGGGGTGAGTGGGAAGACTCAGCCCCTGGTCCCAGCTAGAGTCATGGTGGGCAATGGGACTCAGCATCCTCAAGTATCCCAGCCAGGACAACAGAGGGTAGACTGGCTGGGGGCCCTTAGACACTCCTGGGGCAGAGGCTTGTGGTTCACCCTGAGGGAACGTCATGGTGGGTAGAATATGGCCTAGGCTTGCGCACGAGGGTGGGTGGATATGCTAAGCCAGAAGGGCCACTCCCCAGAGCAATTGCTGTGCATTGTGTCTTCTCCCATTTTCCTACTAATCTATTCATGTGGTTATGTGTATAACTATTCTCTATGACTTACATTTTTGTGCTTATTTCTTCTTTCTTTTGCTTTTATTTCCTTTGATATATTTTTTTCTGGGTGTTTTTAAGCAGATTTACATTCATTATATATGATATGTTTTGCATCTCTCTCTCTCTCTCTCTCTCTCTCTCTCTCTCTCTCTCTGTGTGTGTGTGTGTGTGTGTGTGTGTGTGTGTGTGTGTGTGTGTGTACTATGTGCATGCAGTGTCCGTAGAGGCCAGAAGAGGGCATCAGATCCCTGAGACTGGAGTTACAGATGGTTGTGAGCCACCCTGTACCTATTTCCTCTGCAAGGGCAGTCAATGCTTTTAACTGCTGAGCCATCTCCCCAAGCCCCTCTAGGTGTTTCAAGCAGAATTTTATATTTATATTTAATTTTTTACTTGTATGAATATGTAAAACTATGTATCCTTCTCTGATGAACTTTTAAAATATATCCCATACCTTCTGAAATATAGTGTCATTATCATTAATTTTCAAAATTCTGAGAAGCAAGTCTCAAAGATTTATTTAGTTAGTTTCATTTGTGCATATGTGGGTGTGCCTGTATGAGTTTATGCACACCATATGTGTGAAGGAAGTGGGGCTGCCTGATATGGGTGCTGGGAATCGAACCCAGGTCCTCTGGAAGAGCAGTAAGCATTCTTAACCACTGAGCCATCTCTCCTGCCCCTGAAAAGCATTTTAATAACATATTTTAAATTTTTTTCCATATGAAGTAAAAAAAAATCAACCCCCCCCAATCTGTCATTAATTTCTGGTTTTATTCCATCATTACTAGAGAGTGCTTATAGTATTCCTATGCTAGGGAGTGGCCTATGCTCTTCTGAGATATACTAATCTAATTTTCTGTGACTGTCCCTGTGCCCTTGAGTAGATAGTGCATTCTCTTTCCAGGATCAAGGGCATCCTCTTCTGTCAATGGTACATACACCTCAGTAAGACTTACTTTACTGATTGCTTGAGGGTTACAGACCCATCCAGCACTGGGAGTAGGGGAGGGAAGGACAGACAGTCAGTCACCTTGACCTATGAACTGAGTTCCGGGCTGGCCTAGGAGCCACAGCAAAACCCCATTTCACGTACAACCCTCCAAGACAGATTCAGTTTGCTGATTGAACAGTATGACTCTTCTATGCCCATTTTTGTTTTTGTCTTTCTAGGATATTATGTAACCCTTTTCTCATATTAATCTATTTCTCCTTGTGCCTCCTGTAGTTTTTGTCCTATAGAGGTGGTGGCTGTATTACTTGGTACACAGATATTCAAGATAGGTAGGGGGTTGTTGTTGTTTTTGGTTTTTCAAGACAGGGTTTCTCTGTGTAGCCTTGACTGTCCTGAAACTCACTCTGTAGACCAGGCTGGCCTCGAACTCACAGCAATCCACCTGCCTCTGCCTCCTGAGTTCTGGGATTAAAGGTGTGCACCACTGCCACCCAGCTTAGAGGGCTGTATCATCTTAAGTTCTCTTTCATCACTTAAGCATGTCCTTCTTTGCCAATAGATGTCCGTCCCCCCCCCACCACCTCCTGCTGTTTGGAACTGCTTGGCATTCCTTTACATTCTCCTTTGAACTGGGTCTTGATTTATGAGGCAGATGGACAATTATTCCTTTAATTGTTGGTTTAAGTCCCTTTTGCATCTTTTTTTTTTTTTTTTAAGATTTATTTACTTATTATGTTCACAGTGTTCTGCCTGCATGCTAGAAGAGGGCACCAGATCTCATTATCAATGGTTGTGAGCCACCATGTGGTTGCTGGGAATTGAACTTGAGACCTCTGGAAGAGCAGCCAGTGCTCTTAACCTCTGAGCCACCTTTCCAGCCTCACCTTTGTGCACCTTAATAAAACTGCTGTAGTTCATTTCAGATCGATAATATTTTGTTAAAATTACTATGTGTGTTGAGCTGTATTTTACAGTTTTCCTGAATAGTCTGTTTTCTTTGTCTTTTTATTCAAAATTTTTCTTTTGGTGTTGAGGAAGACTTGAATTTTTACTCTGTTGGTTATATTTGTGCTTGTTTGTTTTTGATTTCCTGGTGTTCTCTTAGTTCTCACCCACAGGTCCTTCTGTTTAACAATCTCCTCTGGCTTCTGCTTCCTGCCTGTGCGGTGAGCCACACGCCCTTCAGACAGGTTAGTGACATCAGAGGAATTCTTGTTGTCAGCTGCCTGGGACAGGCTGTGGGACAGGACAAGTGACTGCAAATTGCTGTCGCTGTTCTTAAGAGTTTCCTTACTGGATCTGAGGTCCCTGGTAATCGTGGCCTGAGATGAAGCAGGAGTAAATAAAAGCAAAAGAGAAGCTTGTTAAATTGATACTAAGTAACAGAAATAAGTAGTTAAACGTGTGGTTTTAATTGGATAGCCACACGTACAAGAATGAAACCAGACTCTTATTTCTCACCTTGCACAAAAATAAACCTAAATCGTTCAAAAGCCTTAATGTAAGGGCTGAAACTCTCAAACTCTCACTTCAAGAAGCAGGCAGAGGTAAGGACTCCAGTTGCTTGTGAAATGACACTAGCTATTGATAAATTGGATCTCGGGAAATTAAAAAGCTGGGCCCCACACAGAGTGGGAGAAAAATCTTTGCTGGCCATATGTTTGCAAAGGGTTAGTACCTGTAACACACGAAGAATCAAAACCAAAAACTGAAAACTAAACAAGATGCCAAGCAACCCAATCAATAAGTGAGCTAATGAACTGAGGAGACCGTTTTCAAGAGATGAAATAAAGCTGGGCACGGTGGTGTCCTGTCTCAAAAACAAAAACAAATCACAAAAAGATGGAAAGCAATGGCCAGTAAATATAGGAAAAACAATGTTCCGTCTCAACAGCTCTCAGAGAAATGCAAGTCAAAACTACATTGAGATTCTGTCTTACTCCAACCCTAATGGCGGTCACTCTGGAAGTTAGAGGGAAGGTTTCTCAGAACACTAGAAGTGGATTTACCACACGGCCCAGCTGTGTGAGTCCTGAGTATTCATCTGAAAGACTCCAGTCAGCACACTTTGGAGACACTTTCTGTACTCCTGGTCACAGTGGCCATTGTGGAGCCAGCCTAGGCGTCCACCAACAGAGGAATGGATTAAGAAAATGTAGTGTATGTACATAATGGATTTTTTTTTCATCCACAAAGACGAATGGAGTCAGGAAAATGGATGCAACTGGGAGGTGATTGTATTAAGTGATCTAAGCCAGTCTCAGGATGATAGATTTGATGTCTTCTCTCACTGTGGATCTAGATGTTAGACAGATACATGAAACCAGGCGTATATATAACATGAAAGCGGAGGTAAAATTGTCTGGGGGACACAGGGGACCAACAGGAAGAGGGGGGGTGTTGAAAAGCGGGGTGGTATGCTCAACACATGCATTTGTATGAAGATTTTAAAAAATAGAAAAATAATATAGCTTGACTCTTTAAAGAAACCACTAAAAGAACAAAACAGAGTAAGAAAAATTGAATCACTCTCACAAAACTCAGCAAATAAAAAAGTTACCAAAAAAAAAATCTAGTAAATTTGAAGAGACAGTAAAATCTGTAGGTAGTGAAAATGAATATAAACTGTCTGTTTTGTACTGCAATTAAGAGTAGTTACAGAAAAGAAATAGGCAAATCAGCTCTCTGCTGGGTGTGACTCTAAAAACAACTCATAAAAATATATGCCAGGAAAATATTCACAAAACTAAAAATACAAAATCAGAATGGAGTTTAAGGCAAAAAGTATGCTGTGAGAGAACTGGCTTATCCTGTTATTGGTAAGGGTTAGAGTCCAGGAAAAAGTCATATTCATATTTATGTACCTAAAAGCGTATTTTCAATAAAAAAGCTGGTAGAAAATACAAATCAAAACCACAATGAAATATGGCTGTTGTCATCATTTAGATGTCAATACCCCCACAGGTGCGTGTGTTTGAAGCCTTGATCACCAGCTGTTTGAGAAGGTTGTGGAAGCCTTGGGATGCGGACATAACTGAATCCTGTCAGCCACCATGATGTGAACAAGCTACTGATGCACCCGCCCACACGCCCCCCCTACTGCAGAGAACGCCACCGATCCAGCTGCTGTGACTTCCCCACCACATGGTCCACCAAGCTTCACCCCACTTCCCCTGAGCTGTGTCTGTCCAATATTTTGTCAGAGTGCTAAGAAAGGTAATGAATATAGCTACAATCAAGCTGGTTGCAGACACTGGTGAAGACACAGAGAAACTGGAGTCTTCACACGGTGTTAGGGTAGAAATGGTTCAACCATTTTGGAAAGCAGTTTGGGCGTGCCTCACAAAGTTTTTAAACAGAAAAGTACTATGTAACTTAGCAGTTGTTAGATAAGTATAAACACATGACCAAGGAAGACATATCATTATAGAAAGTGTGTACACAAATGCTCCTAACATTATCCATCATAGCCAAAGAGTAGAAATGACTCAAACATTCATCAGCTAATCCATTCAACACGATATTATTTGGCTACGAAGAGGAATGGAGTAACATTACTTATCGAAATGTTATGCTGAGTGAAAGATGCCAGCAGCAGAAACCATAGCTGGCATGATTTCCTTAAATAAAGTGCCCGGAATTGACGAATCCATAGGGACAGAAAACTGACTAACAAATTCCTAGGGCTGAAGACTGCGGGGGGAATGAAGAGTGACTGCCGGGGCTGTGCAGACCAGGACGATGAAAATGTTCAGGGACGAGTGTGTTCTGGCCCCACGACTATCAACGTTCTAAAAACTACAGAAATGGCTGGAGAGATGGCTTGATGGTTAGGAGTACTTGCTACCCTTCCAGAGGACTCAAATACAGTTCCCAGCACTCACATGGCAGCTCACAATCCTCTGGAACTCCAGTGCCAGGGGAGCTGATGCCTCTGGCCAATTTGGGCCACATGCAGACACACACACCTCTACATAATTAAAAACGATAAAAATAGATCTTTAAAAATCTAATATGTATACTCTGAGTTAGTGAATTGTTTTTGTTGTTGTTTGTTTGTTTTGTTTTTCGAGACTGGGCTTCTCTGTGTGCATCTGGCTCTGTAGACCAGGCTGGCGTCTAACTCAGAGATCTGCCTGCCTCTGCCTCCTGAGTGCTGGGATTTGAGGCATGAGCCACCACAGCTGAGTTAGTGAATTGTATGGTGTATGAATTATATCTTAGACAAGTTTTGTTATAAAAATAAGAATAAAGCCATGTTTACTGGCACACACATTTAGTTCCAGCACACAGGAGGCAGAGGCAGGCAAATTTCTGTGAGTTGGAGGGCAACCTGGTCTACATAGCAAGTTCCAGACCAGTCAGGGCTACAAAGGGAGACCCTGTCTCAAAAACTAAAACAAGCATAAAAGCAGATAGGAATAAAAAAATAATAGACTAGCAGGATAGATAAATAAAGACCATGCCCCTCTGAATTTAGGCAGCTGTGGTTTCCTGTACAAGCTCAAGTCAATATCCAGCAGGGTTAGGGGAGAGGTTTGTGAGCCCCGCCCCTAGCTGAGGACCCATTGGCAAGTGATGGCTGCTGGGGGAGGGAGAGTCTGTTTTCTCTAGACGGCCTGGTAGGTAGCGCATGCTCAGTGGAAGGCCTCATACCAGTGTGTATATGGGCAGCAATCATTTCCCTCAGTAGGCTATAGAAACAATAATAACAACAACAACAAAAGCAAACAACCAAACAACAACAAAACCCTAAAAACTGAAAAGACAGACATGAAGTTATGCCGATATGGGGCGATCCAGGAGGAGCTGAGGGTCCGGGAGAGAATGACCGGAAGTGTATTGTGTACACGTATGAAACTCTCAAAGAAGAAATAAAAATATGATATTAAAAAAAAAAGACAATAGGGATGAAAAAGAGCTTCTGTGGTGTGATTGTTTCATCCTGTGGCCACAGGAGTTCACTCTGTAGAGCATGTCCACATGTGCTCACCCTTGCCGGGGTGAGATTGCCTCTTTAGTTTAATAGAACTGGCACTGCTGTGGAGTGGAGGCCGTGTGTCTATTCCCAGAGTCTCATGCCAAACTTCCTCTGGGCCTCGGGGAGAGTTGCTCTACCCCCTGGGCCTCAGTTTCTTCATGTGTAAAATTAGAAGGAAGTAGAGTGTGTAATCACAGAGTTTCCGGCACTTATGTCCTCTGTCTGAAGACCTTGCCACGATGTTCCTGGATGTACCTTGATGTTGATGTGGGTCCTGGTACGTACCCCTGGTCAGCAGTTCCAGCCCCACTCAGTCGCTGAGCTTCTGCATGGTAACTATGCAAAGAGAAAGGGCAGAGAGGTAGGTGTTTTCTCCCCCACTCCCCGGCCACCCACAAGGAACTAGTGCCGATCCGGTTTTGTGTGAAAGTGCACGTGTGAGGTCCTTGAGCATGTATATAATCAACATAGAGGTTAGAGGACAACCCTGGTGACAGTCCTCAGGCACAGCCCCCGCTTTTGTTGGATTCAGCGTCTCCCATTGGCCTGGAACTCTGTCAAGCAGATCAGTGTAGCCAGCTGTGGACTTGCAGAGATCAATCTGTTTCCACCTCCTGAGATCTTGCCATCACTAGATTCCAGGCACGAGGCACCACGCTTCGCTTTTAAACTTGCATTCTGGGATCCGAACAGGAACCCCTTTGCAAGCTGACCTTGCCGAGTCGTTTCCAAGCTTCTTGAGTTTCTCGTTTGTTTTTGTTTTTTACACCATTTGTTTGTTTGTTTGTTGTGTGTGGCAGGGATTATGCACCAGCCATGGTGTGGGTGTGGTGGTCAGATGATACCCTGGGTGGGTCCTGGAGATAAACCCAGGTCATCAGACTTGGTGACAGCTACTGTTTATCTGCAGAGCCATCTTGCCAGCCCTTAGCTCGAGTTTTAAGAACCATATTTTGTCTTCTGTGCGAGATATTTTCTTTGAGAAAATTTTGTTTATATATCATTAAAAACAAGATTCATGAGACTATTTCTTGATTTGCTTTTCCCTTCTGGCAGTTCTATGAGTTTCTTCAAACAAGTCAAAGCAACTCTGACCAGAGATACTTCAAGTGACAAGAAGATGTGTTATGCTAGACCTCACTGGGACCAGTCAGGTGGAAACAGAACGATGGGTGGAAATGATGGAAACAAAGGGAGCTGTGAACCGACAAGGTGGTGTCAGCACCAGGAGATGAATGTACAGTTTACAGGAAGAGGCACGCCTGAGTCTTGGCTCATCGGTGAATAGGTGTGTGGCTGTGGATCTGTTAAGACATCATTCTGAGCATTGGTTTTCCCTATCCATAAAATGAAGACAATATGCTTTATTTTGCAGAGTTGTATGATTTAGAGATTATAAAACTGGTTGTTGCAATTTTCTAATTATTCAAGAAAGAAGCTGTTGCATTTAATGCAAAAATTATCGTCATCTTTCAGCTGCTTGCTCTGCCTCCTGGTACTGAGCATTGTGGACCAACATCACCTGAGACTGCAACAGATCTCTTCCTTCCACTGAGGTATGACATGCAGCCCAGCAGAGCAGCTTCCACCTACTGCCCAGTTTGATGACAGACTTTAGATGTTATACATTTGAACCCCCATGGCTAAATTCCCCTCATTGCCTCAAAATTTCCCAAGGACAAGGCATCTAGACTCACTGCCATTTCAGATGTCAGCATGGTGACGGCCATTGGAGTTTGTAGGTTGGAGCTATGGTCCAAAAGTGATCTGATCAGCCCAGAAAACCTGGGCTGTTCCTTCTCTAGATTCTTCCATGGGACTGGAGTGTCGTTAGCTTCTTTAGCAGCCTTGTCACATCTTGGTTTATCTTGGATTTACATTTCTCTAGAATGCAAACCACCACTATTTTCTTTCTTTCTTTCTTTCTTTCTTTCTTTCTTTCTTTCTTTCTTTCTTTCTTTCTTTCTTTCTTTCTTTCTTTCTTTCTTTCTTTAATTCCCAAGACCTCACCAATATTTTCAAGTAAACTTTTTTTCAGAGCCAGGCCCTTGGTGTTCACCCTATATATGAATATTTGTGTATGTGCCATATTGATATCTATACTTATTAGTGATATATATATATGTATACATATGTATATTTCTAAATTTGTTTATAACATGTGTTAGATTTCTGAAACTGTGACAAAAAAAAAACTCCTGAGATAATCATCATACAAGGAAGAAAGGTTTCTTTTGGCCTATGATTTCATAGGCTTCATTCCATGATCATCTGGGCCCATTGCCTTTGGGCCTATGGTATGTGAGGCAGAATGCCATGGTAGCAGCACACAGCAGAGAAAGCTACTCACTTCATAGTGAAACAGAATAGAAGGGGCCTGGGGTCCCGTAGCTCCACTAAGGTCACATATTCAGTAACCTTCTGCCTCCTAAGTGCTCTACCACCTCTCAATGTCAACGCAGGCTGGAGACCAAGCATTTGATACATAGGCTTTTGGGGGCTATCCAAACTTTAGCAGTTTGATTATGTGAAGAATCTCTCCAATACTAAGCCTGGTATTACATACCTAACATCTTTTGATAGGATGCTATGAGTGTGCACTGACTTTTTGCCACACTCAAAAGAGAGCGAGGTTAAGTCCATGCATATTTTCACAGCTAGCACATTCAGATACACTACTTCTACCAGAGTTGGTGAGCAGGGAACTATTAGCGGTCATTGGGTCACTGTTTCTCTGGGTCTCAGTGACTATGCCTGCCTGTTCAGGGGCTGGTTGGCCTAGATTATATCATATGTTTGTCCTAGTCCTAAGATTTTTGCCTAAATTGCCAAGACTAAACTTCTGCTTTCCTTTCCTGGGGGCCATGCTTACTCTTCAGTTCACTCCCAGCACCTCACTTTCATCCCCAGGGAATGTCAACCCCCCTCCTTGAGATTCCCATTCTGCACCTGTCATATCCACTGTCACACCTACTCAGCAGCATGTGATACTCAGACCCTCTGGGCCTTGTCAAGTCACTGGTCACACACGTTAGCCCACACTGGCCTGCAGATCCTTAGTCTCTGGAAGATTCCAGAGCACTGCTCTCTCTAAAACCATTTTAAAGATGGATTTCCAAATGTCACCCACAGTGCAAATAAGATGAACAGTAGCCACGCATGACCCTGAAGCAAGTCTTTAACCTCCCTGGCTATCTGTAGCCAGCAGGGTCAGGCATAAAGGGACTGTGATGGCTAATTTTTAATTTTCAACTTGGCACAATCTAGTATCTCCTAGGAAGGGGATTCTCAAGGAGGGATCACCTACATTGGGTTGACCTGTGAAGGATTTTTCTTAGTTGGGTTAATTGAGTTGGGAAAACCAACCTTGGATGTGGACAACACCCATCATGGGCTGGACCCTGAAAACTGTATGAGGTTGTGTGTGTGTGTGTGTGTGTGTGTGTGTGTGTGTGTGTGTGTGTGTGTTGTTTTTAAAGAAAGTGAACCATGAGTGTGTGAGTCTGAGTGTGTGTTTATCCTCTCTGCTCTTGGCTGAGGATGTGGTGTGACTGGCTGCTGGGGACTCCTATCTTGACTACCCTGCAACGATAGATTGTAACCTGGAATTGTAAGCCAAATAAACACTCTTTTCCCTGAACTGATTTTGGGGCTGGGGGTGGGGTCAGGGTGATTGTAATCACAGAAACAGATGTAGAACTGGAGTATGACCATGTGAGCTCCTGGACTGGGTGGAATGGGGCACACTGAACAACTTGCCCACACCTCACATCATGCTTTGTCTCTGCAAATTCAACCTCATGGAAGCTCCTGGGCTACCTTCCTTCCTTTGCTCAACTTCTCAATGTGGTAAAACCAATGTGTAATTTTTGTTTGTTATTTGCTTTTATGACACAGGGTTTTGCTATATAGCCCAGATTAATCTTAAATCCCTGATCCTCTTGTCTCAGCATCCTGAGTGCTGGGATTAAAGGAATGTGCCACCATCCCTGGCTATAAAAATTGTCTTTTCTTATAAATTGTACATGTAACATATGTACACCATATTTGCAAGAAAAATAATTCTATTTACAACAAGGGATTCCCTCCTAAATTGTGCCCTGTTCTCCAGAATATAAAGAGAGAAGAAGCTGGATCAACCCCAACACTATCTGGGCAAAAGCTCCTTGTTGGCATTGGATGATTTTCCTTCTCTTTGCAGCAGATGGGATGAATAGATAACTCCTCCTTTTCCTAAGTGTGAGGCACACTTGCCTGACAGTGCCCTTTCCAGAAAGTGTTGTGTATCTACAACAAGAAAAATATGCAAGTTAAAACTCCAGAAGATTTCCCATTTTTGTTCAGACATTGTACTGTCTTGTTGAAAAATATTTCTAGTCAAGACTAGAGGAAAGTTTGTCTTGCTGTTCCCCTATGAAGTAAACATATTATGATTAGATATCAACTTTATATCTGAACTTCTACCCTGAAGGAAGAGTTACCAAGTCCTGAGCCCAGTGTATTGGTATATACCCATCAAGCTAGCACTCAGGAGCTGAGGTAGAAGGATTTCTAGTTCAAGGCCAGACTGGGCTATAGAGAAAGTTCTAGAGGCCATCTCAAAAAAAAAAAAAAAAAAAGAAGAAGAAGAAGAAGTGGAAAAAGGCCAGCTGTAATGTCACACCTATTACCCCAGTAATTGGGAGGCCAAGACAGGAGGATGCTGTGAATTTCAGGCTAGCCTGGGCTATCTAGAGCCCAACTTTAATTTAGAAGAAGAAGAAGAAGAGGAGGAGGAGGAGGAAGAGGAGGAGGAGGAGGAGGAGGAGCTGGCTGGAGAGATGTCTCAGTGTCTAAGAGTACTTTTGCAGAGGATATAGGTTCAGTTCCCAGCATGCATGGTGGCTCAGAACCATCCATAACTTCAGTTCCAGGGATCTGATGTCCTCTTCTAACCTCCCCATGTCCCAGGCATCCACATGATGCACATATATACGTGCAAGCAGAACACTCATACACATAGTAAAGATAAATAAATCTAAGTCTGGTGTAGGATCCCAGTTTGTGTTAGTGGAAGGAATGGCTAGGTACAGATGGGTTTTTATAAGATTTATGAATTAGTTACTTTTCTTGTTGCCATGGCAAAATACCTGACAAAAATAATAATCTGAAGAAAGAGAAGTTTGTTTAGGTTCAAAGCTTGAGAGTATAGTCCACTGCGGTGGTGAAGGCACGGTGGCAGGAGTGGGAGGCAGCTGGTCACATGGTACCCACAGTCAAGAAGAAAAAGTTGGATTGCCTAACTTTATCCTTTTCATTCAATCTGGGACCCCAGCCCATGGAATAATGCCAACAACGTTTAAGATGGATCTTCCCACCCCAGATAAGCCAATCTAGAAACTTCCTCACAGGCATATGCAGAGCTGTGTCTCCTCAGTGATTCTAGATCCGGTCTAGTGACCAATTGTAATCATCACAACTAGCTATTCATAAGGAGTAGGGGAATGAAACCCCTGCCCAGATGTCTGTTTCCTAGTGTCTGTGGCTTTATGTCACGTTGTAATAAAAAGAATGAAAATGCCACTGGCCTAGATTTGACAGCATTCCTAAATTTGTCAGGTCCTAAAATAACAGTGAGAGTTTAAGATCCTTAGCTCGAGTCATTTGACACCAAGTTTCCTGACTCCAAACCTAAAGTTCCTGTACGCTAGTCTTGGAGACCACTGGGGACACACAGAGGCTCACTGAGGGAAGCCTATTTCCTCCTGGTCAAAAGAATGAAATCTATCTCTGGTCCTGGAGGGAGATAGGATATTTCTCTGCTCCAAAGATTAAAGCATTCCATTCCATTGTCCCTTCCCTTAAGCTTTAGTCCAGCCGGGCCTGTCAATCACTTGGTCAATAAGTGACCCACCAAAAAGGATGTTTCTCATCAAGCCATGCTGAGGAGATGGGAGGAATAATTATCCCTTCTCTCAGTGCACACGGTTGCAGAACTTCCCTCATGTAGCACTGCTTTCTTTTTTCTTCTGTCTCTTTCCCAAAGGCTAAGCATGCTTTCTCTGTTGCACTGGACTTTCTCAGAAGCTCCCTCCCCTTTCTGTTGTGGCTGCTATAAACCTGGCTTTCTCTTCCTTTTCCTCACTCTCTTCCAGGAAGCTTCCGAGGCTTACAACTTACCTGTCCTGTTGTTCGTCTCTTAATCTGTAATGAAACTGTCCTTGAACTTCTTTCCTGGTCCCTTTCTGAATTATTTTATTAATGAGACTAATAACCCAAAAGAAAATAAAAATCACCAGTCACATATGGCACCCAACATAGGCCTCCTCAAAGCTCCTGGTAATGGTTCCTTCTACCTCACCTCAAGGGCTGGTTTTCTCTCAGCTGAAATGAAGATAGATGCAGGCGGGGCTTCCAGTAGGGCTTTCATTGAGCTCACAGCTCTTTCCTCACTTGGGAAGTCCAGCTTTCAAGGTCCTGGGGAAGGAGGAATGGAGGCCATGTCTGCTAGAAATGTCAATAGTAGCCATTGTGAATGATATGGTTTCTTGCTTCAGAGAGAATAGAGTTCTTTTATAGAGGTCTGTTCCCTAGGACTAGCGACTACTGAGAACACTTACTTCACCTGCTATTTTGGGAGCTCAAAAAATGATACTCCAAAGGCATGCTGAGTGCTTTGAAATAGAAGTTGGATGACTCCCTAAGCAGCCACAGAACCATCTCTCACTGACCTTCTCCCACCCTGCTGTCCCTCACCCTCATTTTTCCCATAGGCGAGGCATCCTCTTTGCTGAAGCAGGTCAGAGAACTGGAATCCTTATCCCCAAAGCAAGCCTCAAAGTCTTAAAGTATTCTAAAGGTTCCCTGCCTTCCTTTTGCTCTGACTGAGACAGGAACAAATGACTAAGGACAGGCACAAATGACTGAGTCTTAAGAGGGTTGACCCTGGTGTCCTATTTAACGGCAATGAGAATAGACCACAACAAAACCCACATCAAGAGTTTATTGGTAGGGAGTGAAGAAGGGGTGTGTGTTCAGGACTGCCTTGAAAGAGATGGGATGGAAGAGAGAGCGAGGAACAGTCTCAGCGCATGCGTACAAAGGCTGGCATAGCCACTCAGTGCATGCACATAGGTTACACAGTGACATATGGCCATAAGACCCCAGGCTGAAAATGAATGTGAAGCCATAGGACCCTGGGTGCTGGCTAGACATTTGCCTGAAATGCTAACATCTCTCCCTTTTGTTTTTTATACAAAAGCAAGGAGTTAGGGGTGGCAGGCGGGTGGGAAATGAGGGTGCCGGGTTCTTGAAAACACTTCCTGCTGACTTGATGTGTGTTGGTCATCTTTGGGGGGCTTGAGAAAGCTGAGGTGTTTGTTGTCCACGTCCTCCTGGGGTAGCTAACTGTTTCACTTCACTGTCCAGGCTCTGTGGAGCTGTCCGGCACCACCCATATCTGGCAAGATGCTGTTCAGGTGGATCCAAGTCAACTCCCTGAAGCTTACAATAATTTTTAAGATTACAAAAGAGATGCTTTAGACATATTAAAAGCAACCAAAGGGAATTTAAAATCCTGAGTGGCTATGATAATATGGTGTAGAGTGTAGTGTTTAGTACTCTGCTAGAGCTAGATGAATAGCTTACCAGAGTTCTATTGGTTAGTGTTAAAGTTATGAACAGTCATATAGCGAGCAAGAGAGAGAGGAATCTGGAACATGCTTTATTGTAGCCATAAATTTCTTGGGTCCTGCCCAGCCCCCCGCAGTCCAGACAAATCTCACTCACCCACAGTCCCACAGCCACTCGGTCCCAAGTAAACACACAGAGGCTTATATTATTTATAAGCTGAATGGTCTATGGCAGGCCTCTTGCTAGCTAGCTCTTATATCTTAAATTAACCCATTTCTATTAATCTATGTTTTACCACATGTTCCGTGGCTTGCCAGTCTGCTGGCATGTTGTTCCTTCAGCGGCAGGCTGGTATCTTTCCAGACTCCACCTTTCTCTTTACTTTCTCTCTCCTTGGATTTTCTGCCTGCCTCTAAGCTGGCTTGCCATAGGCCAAAGCAGCTTATTTATTAACCAATGGGAACAACATATATTCACAGCATACAGAAAGTTACCTCCCAGCACTTTATTCTTTCCTTATTACCAATTAAGCTTTCCCATCTCCACCTAAACAAACCTTAAAGCATCTGTTCCTTTCCCATCATCATAGTATAACCTTAACACTCAGAAGGCACAGATGGTTGATTACTGAGGGCAGTCAATATCAGAGTTATACTGAAATCTATTCTGTGGGTCTCCTTTTGGGTCTGAGGGTGTGGATATCTCTGGGGGTGTCATTTCTTGCCACCCAGGCACGTTTGATATTCTTTACACCTCCAGCTTTGTGGCTAATGGTTGGTAGTCCTGCAACAACAGTTAATTAGTTTAATTAAGAATTTTGAATATATCATTGGAGATACATAGAGAGGAAATTGATGAAGCAGGGTGTGATCAGTAGAGACAGGAGAACATTGTGGGGTCAGGTAGGAAAGCATATGGAGTTCCCAATCTGGTAGAACTGAGTATGGTTGTGGGGTGAAACCTTATTCTTATGAAATTGGAGACAAGGCAGTTGATCTCAGTGTCCTCTGGAACTTAAAAGAGCAGGGTCCTGTTTGGGCTATGGTATATGAAGAAATATTATCTTGATGTGGGGGAGTAAAGGGTTTGAAGAGAGATAAGTGAATCCAATGAGGGAGGCCCTCAAGCTTAGCAGTTGGTTATACCCATTTAGGGGAAAGGGGTGAGGGGCACTCATCTGGAGGAGAGAGATAGACCTGATACCCAATGTTGATTGATGGTGGACAGGAGTTGTCACATGGCTGAGATAGGGCATCTCCATAGGAGGGAATGGAGATGATAGAGTAGGGGGGTCAGTAGGTGATCAGGGAGAGGTGAGAGTTTGGATGGGAGGCTGGGGGTTAGAATTGGCCTTCCATATATGAGTTCAAATGGCATGATTGAAAGGGGTTGCTTGGGGAGAGCCTGGAGCCTGAAAAGAGCTACAAGCAAGAGTTTTACTAAGTCAAGGTGAAGTTCCTGTTACATTTTAACAAGACTGGTTTTAAAGAGCCGTTAGTTGTAGGTGGAACATTTCTCTCCTTCCTGCCTGTTACCAAATATCCAGTAGCTACTTCTTAAATAATTGAGTCTGGGACTTAATATTACTTATAAATGCTTGGCCAGTAGCTCAGGATTATTACTAACTAGCTATTATGCTTAAATTAACTGACAATTTTTATCTATGTTTAGCCATATGTGCTGTGGGATATCTTTTTGTATGCTGTGAAAATATGTTGCTCTCATTGGTTGATAAATAAAGCTGTTAGGTCAATGGTGAGGCAGAATAAGGTTAGGTGGTACAGTCAAACTGAAGACAGAGATGAAGAAGGGTGGAGTCAGGAGATGTTGTGAGCCACTGCCAGGAGAAGCAAGATGTGAGTGAACAGGTAATGTCACGAGCCATGTGGCAAAACATTGGTTAATAGGAATGCATTGCATTAAGATGTAAGAGCTAGCTAGCAAGAAGCCTGAGCCATAGGCAATACACTTTGTAATTAACATAAGCCTCTGTATGTTTATTTGGGACTGAGCAACTGTGGGAGTAGGCAGGACACAGGAAAACTTCAGACTATGCACGTGGCTTGGTACCTTTTCTCAGTCTGACATTCTCATCTTGCTTCCTCTGTGTATGGCTGGTGATACCTGACTCCATCCTTTCTCTTCCCAGAATTCTCCTAGTCAGCTTGCCCTGTCTATACTTCCTGCCTGGCTACTGGCCAATCAGCATTTTATTAAACCAATTAGAGTGACAAATCTTTACAATGTACAAGAGCATTATCCCACTGCAGTCAGTTCATTCTATCTTTCCTGAGGACTGGGGGTGATATGAATATGAAAGTGCCAAGGGATGCTGAGAGCTTTAGATAGGGTTTGGGAGATCTGGGAGGTGAATTCAGAACCATTGTCTGACTGGAGAGACAGACAGTTGGGGAATAACCTCCCAGAAAAGGTTAGAAACTGTCTGAGCCCTTTTGTTGGTGATCGAGAATGCCTCAATCCAGCCTGAAATTGTATCCACTAGAACCAGGAAGGAGATAGTTAATTCATCTGACTGTGGGCATGTGGGTAAAGTCAAGTTGCCAGTCAGTGCCCAGGAGGGAGCCCTGGCTTGGTGGGGAGGAAAAAGAGGGCTGTGATATTTGTTATTAGGGTGTGACCTTTGACAAATTTTACAAGAGGCAGTAATAATTCTTAAGAAATGCAAGTCCTCAGGGGTGGGCTGGAGGTGGGCCTTGACAAAGTGAAACAGAGCCTGGCTATTAGGATGAAAGAGCTGGTGTAGACAGGACAGAATTTGTTGAGTGTTAGGGGGTGACTGGGAGGATGTGGGTTGCAGTGTATGAACTCCCTGTGGTGGGTGAGGTGAGTCTGGGCCTTGTAGGGCCACTGCTCTAGCTGCCTCATCAGCCCAGTTATTTCCCTTATAGATGACGCAGTTGTTGGTCTGATGACACTAGCAGTGAATAATTCCTATAGCTTTGGGAAGATGGGAGACTTTTAGCACAGCCATAATTTGACCAGAGTTAGTTAATGATCCTTCTTTTTTAAAGTAGCCTGTCCTCTTTCCAGATGGCAGCATGGGAGAGGAAGATATGAAAAGCATATTTAGAGTCTGTGTAAATGTTTAGGGATTGTCCCTTTGCCAATTGCAAGGCATGGGTGAGAGCCATTAGTTCAACCTGTTGACTAGTTGTGTGGGTGGGGAGTGCCTGTGCTTTAACCACCCCAATATCTGACACTATGGCATAACCTGCTTTTTATGTCTCTTCATGTAAAAAGGAGCTGCCATCTGTGTACCAGGTATAGGTGGTCTGAGGCAATGTACCCTCCTGTATGTGTGAGGGGTGAGGCAGTAGTTCTTCTACACTTGATCTTAGCCAAAAGGCCGAGAAGCGATGGCAGTTGTTCTTCTAGGGTTTCAATGCAAGAATGAGATGGGGAGTGGTCAGTATTGGGTCCAGGAAGAAGGTTTGAGATATTGAGGAGTGGGCAAGATTGGAAAATAAGTGTGGCACCTTCTACTAGTGACACTTGGAGGGAAAGAACTCAGGGAGGAGGTAGAGTTTATAAGCCTTTGTAAGTTAAGAGATGGGACAGATTGTATGAGAAGATAGTGGTGGGTGACTCAAAGGCTAGTTTCTTTGATCCACAAATAAGGAGCTCAGCATCTGCTAAAGCACATATTCAGGGTGCCCATCCCTGGGTGGTGAGGTCTAGTTTTTTTTTTTTTTTTTTTTGACAGGTATGCTACAGATGCAAAGGAGGGTCCCAGCTGGTGGCCTAGGACCCCAAAGGCACATCCCTCTTTTTCTGTTACACAGAGGGAGAAGGAATGAGTTAGGTCTGGGAGATGAAGGGCTGGAGCCTTGGGGAGATCCGGTTGGAGCTTC